CCAATCATTTTAAGGAAGGAGAGCCTTGGTATTACAGAACTCTCCCTCAAACCACCTGAGCAGCAGGGGTGTTTTTGAGGCCAATTGCTCCTCATTGCAACCCAGTTTCACCATGGAAGCCTGAGATCTCCAAACCAGCAGAGGCTGCTGTTGATTCCATCAGAGAGAAGCATCCTCAATACTGGTCAATTCTTCAAGTATTTATGCTGAGAACTCTTGGGGCTAGAAGGAGCACTTTTTCTGAGAACATTTTTTGGGACTTGAGTGAACTGCTGACCATGGACATAGATTAATCACATCAGGTTTTAAACATCTGTGTTTTAGTCTAAATATGATTACAACATCAAAATAGAATCTCTCTATTCTTTCCATTTTCATTATTCTCCACTACCACCTGTATCTTCACATAGTCTTCCCACTATATCTTTCTATATCCAAATTTTTTATTTTTATAAGGAAATAGTCATATAGGATTGGAGCTAACCCTAATTATAATTTAACTTAAATATTTCCTTCCAAATACAGTTAGATTCTGAGATCCTGAGGATTAGGACATCAACATACAAACTTTTAGGAGACAAAATTCAGCCCCTAACATTGTTGTTGTTGACTTGCACATATTTTGATGGGAGAAAATGAAAGAAATCAAGAACTCTGTTTTAAAGATTACTTTAAGACATTTAAGAGGAGATTAGGGGCAGGTAGTCATTTTAAATAGATACTTTATACAGCACATGTGTGGTGTTGGCATTTCTCTATTTTTCCCAGTATCAGCAGACAACGTAACGTCCTCTTCATGGGAAGCTCTTTATGTGTGGTTATGCCAGCAGTCTACAGTAAATCTCCATGCCAATGTTTTATTGTTGTTTTTTGTGATTTTGGTACATACTTTTTCCTCTCCTGAGAAATTTGACAAGTGTTTCACAATTCTTCTCTCCTATTTGAATATTGCTATCACTATGAGCGTGATTTCAACATTGATGAGGACAAACCTACCAATATAATAGTCACATTACTCTTAAACATTTTGGACTCTTACAACTATTCTATTTTATTTATTTTATTTTATTTTATTTTATTATTTTATTTTATTTTTTCCATCACTATCTCCTCTATGCTCTCTTCACTTCCACCACCCCTTCTCTGCAATTACCTATGAGTTCCCTCTCTTTTTTCTTTTTTGCTTAATCTCCCTGCTCCCGCCACTACACACACACACACACACACACACACACACTAAAAAAAAAACACACGCAAACAAAAAACCTCCTGCTCCCCTGAGCTTGCTTGCTCTCTCTGTCTGTCTCTATTTTGCTTGGTGGTTCAGTTTGTCTTACAACTCTTTTTCAGTTATTTTTATTTTTATTGATTTCAGGGAGGAAGTGAGAGGGAAGAGAGATACAAACATCAATGATGAGAGATAATCATTGATCAGCTGCCTCCTGCAGCTCCCCTACTGGGGATCAAGCCCACAACCCAGGCATGTGCCTTTGACCTGAATTGAACCCAGTACCCATCAGTCCTCTGGTTGATGCTCTATCCACTGAGCCAAACTGGCTATGGCTGTCTTACAACTCTTAAACTCTACTTCATTTACTCCCTATCTTTAGTTACCACAACTTTCTTTCATTCAGCAAGTAGTCATTGTAGGCATACAATGTAATATCCTCCTGGAAAGTACTGAGGATATACAAAGATGAGTATTACCTGCTCTCTGCCCTCAAGAAGTGTCAGTCTTGAGGAGGAAGGAGACAAGAAAAACATTGTATTACACAGAAAATGTATTATTTAAAAAATTTATTTACTTACTTTACAAATATAAAACAATAATAAGTAACACTGTTGAGAGCTATCATTGTTCTACATGTTTAACATATCTTAAATCATTTTAATTTCCATAAGAAAAGCATATAAGGCAGGTCTTATTATAATCTCCGCTTTATAGTTGGAAAAAACTGAGATATTAAGTCAAATAAGTGATTCAAGGTCATACAGTTTGTAAATATCAAAGCTGGGACTTGAACCTAAGCAGTCTGGCTCCAGAGTCCTTTCAGTAACCATAACGTCCTGCCTTTTCTGTAAGTGCAATTATGCAATGAATCTAAATTGATATCCTTGGAGTAATAATATCTACATGCCTGAGGTTGCCTAGCTAGAAATGGTAGTCATTCTTCCAAATCAGGCCAGCCGAAGGGCCAGAGCAGCCTTCCTCCCCGCACCAGCCTGACAACTTAGCAGTCATCATGCCCTGCCAATAATACAGTGGGGCCTTGACTTACAAGTGTCCTGACTAACCAGTATTTTGAGATACCAGCTGTCTCTCCGCCGATTTTTTGCGCTGAGTTGATAGAGTAATTTGAGTTAACGAGCTCCTTAACGAGCTCCTTAACCAGCTCGGTCTCTGAACGAATTAAACTCGTTAGTCAAGGCCCCGCTGTGTATCAGAGAGACAAAAATGCAATAAACTTAGCTGAATCCACCAGCTTCCCATGAAGAGCTCTTCTTTGTATCATGGTCAAGCCAGGTCTTGTCCCAAATGTATGAACCATCTAAGGGTAAAGGGAGCAGGAACACGAGAGAGGACAAGCCAGAAGAGGTGTGGGGCCGCCATTCCTTCGGATGGGTGCAACCTCACAATAGTGCCCTTCTTTGCCTTCAATTAAATGGATCCTGTTTCTCTGTAAGGAAAATTCCTGCTCTGGCTCTGTATTGCTTGTGTTGGGCAGCAGCACTTGAAGTTAAAATTAAATTTGGAAGCTCTTACGAGAAAAATTGGACACAGACTAAAGGACGTCCAAATGGGAATGAATTTTTTTGAAAATGTTGATGATGAAAAATCTGGCACAGGATATATGTCTGGCAGTAAACCTATCTTTTGTAACAAGGAATCAAATGTGTATGACAACACTCTTAATTGTATAATGACTACTATAATGGTCTTTACTATTAATGCTTTCAGGAAATATATTTATTGAGAGATAATCACCTTTGTATCTACACTAGGCACATGGAAATGTACTTAAATTTCAGATCTGAGGTAGGCATTTGAAGTGGAAAGCTATGGGGGAGAAGACATGTGACACACACCTTGAAAGAGGAGGGGTATTTGGCTGAGGAAGGACACACTTGAAGAGAGGAAACAGCATGAAAATAAGGCACTGAGAAAAGAGTAGGTCAATATTAAATACATGAAAGTGTCTGGTCTGATTCATGGAAAGAGAGTGGAGATGACATTTTGAAGAGTGTTGCAATAGTGTGAAGTTTGTAGCATACAGTGGAAGGTTAAGAACAATGGTTCTGAATCATATAACTTGGATTTGGCTCAGCTTTGCAACACAGGCACAGTAAGACTGAAGCCCAGTTAGGTTACCTCTCACAGCCTGTTTTCTTTCTCTCTCTTCCCCTCCCCCCCCCTTTTTTATTTTCATGAATTAAATGAGATAATGCAATACAGTTAGCACAATGCGTAGGGAAAATATTAGCTTTTATTGTTTTCACTTTTACCATTATTCTAAAAGTAGCAAAGGTAGTATGTGAAGGCCTTGAAAATGTATAAGGTTGGATTTAATGTTGTGGAAAGTGCTAAATTCTTGAGCAGAATAAAGTGATAGATTCTGAATAAAGTGATAAGATTTCATCTGATGGCACATTGAAGCTAAATTAGGAAAGAATAATAAGAATATATAACTTTGATCTCTTGTCAAAGATGAGAATCTTTATATAAAATAAAACTTTCTAATTGAAAGTTAGAAAACCCAACTCTTAGATTCCTAGAACTACTCTATTTAAAGTGTTCAATTTTTCAATAATCTAGGCACCTAAGCTGCTCCCCTTTTCCTTTTCCTGACTGTTTGGGGCTATTTATTAATTACATACATCTTCAAAAGCACAGAGTGGAAGCTTGGACAGGAGTTAGAGCACAAATTAGATATTTATACTTGCCTGAAGTCGTGTAACACTATTGACCAATGTAGGACTTTCTTGTGGCTCTCATTGTTTCTTAATATTCTCTTTTCTCTGAGTGTATTTTACGAATTACTCCCCCATGCTTTGGATGAAGGGACAGTTAAGGTAATGACCACACAATGGACAATTGTGCAATATCAAAGCGCAACTCTCTGGTACACATTAAGTATTTATATTTAATTAGTAACTTATTAGATCAAATTGCATATGATTCTAATTATTCAAAGCTGTTTTAAAAATAAATGATGCATGTATCTCATTCTTTTTATGAGAACACTGCTAATTACTAAATAAAAATTTAATGATTTACAACTGGTTTAACCACATACATGGCATATTGTAATATACCACTTTTATATCAATCCCAGCCAGTAAATAGTCAAACATAACCTTTAAATGCATACATTTAATTCAGAATCATAATCTCCACTAGTTAGACAATAAAATTATCTGATTATACTCTCATTTCAGTTAAAAAGAAAATCCTGTTACAACCTAAGTAACTAAATTTTGCTTCAGCCAGTTCAGTTTATTTATGTACTTTTTTTGTCTTAAATGTTGATTCCCTACTTGCAAGATTTGAAAAGATTTCATATCATGAAATGATTTGATAACAAAAACTTAATATGAGCTTTATAATGACAATTATGAAAAAATTAAGCCTCTATCCTAAGTTAAATGAATCTATTTGTCTTTACATTGCTATAATGGCATAGCAATCAGGCAGGATAACAACTTAATTTTTTCTTTGTAGTTCATTTATTTGTGCAAGATTTATATTCAAACCCATGCTGCTGGAGTCAGAGTCATTGTCAGTCTTATGGAAGACTTCCTTCAATTATTCCTCGCAATCTTATTGGTATCACATTTTTAGTACACACTCCACGTTTATCATTCAAAAAATTTACTGCATTTTGATTTGCACAGATGAAACGAAAATGAGTAACTAAGACATTGGTTGAAAAATAAAATATATGTCTCTTCAAAATATTTTAAAAGATCAGAATATAAAGACCTACAAGGATTTCTCTTACCTTTCTCCACTCTGCAGTGTGACAATGGGCACTTATACTCCTAGATGACATCAGTATAGAATGCAAGCATCTCTTTTGAAATCAGGTATTTCTGTGGCTTGTCAGATTCTAGGGAGGGTGAAAAATGAGCTGGCTGGGTGGAATGAATGTAGTGAAGAATTATGGGAAATGTAGTAGAAAATTGTAACAATAACAGTGGTAAAAGTAAAAAAGAAGGAATAATAACACTTGAAATGAAGACATGCTAATACATGAACTGACTAGGCTGTGCCGTTGTAGTTCACCTGGGAGAGTTGAATATAGGGAACATATTAGAAGATTATAAAATTATTATATATAAGTCATTGTCACCAGGCTTCTGAACGCAATTCTTTGGTAACTGGATGTGAATATGCTTGTGCTTCCGCCTGAAATATTGAAACAGGCTGGCATAAAACTTAACTTCCTAAAGTATGGATTCAGCTTTGTCAGCCTTACAAAGACCACTTCAAAGGGTTTAAATACTCTTGTGGTCTCTGTTAAGATTCACACAGTGTGTTTGGTGTTTTGTTTTGTTTTTTTGCTCACAGTTTTTCTTTTAAGCCAATGTGTTAAAACTGTGATATGTCCTGTAAATATTTGATTGCCGGCTTTTCTTAGAAATTTGTACATCTAGCAATACTGACCTCAGATTTCCATTGTGACAATAGACTTTAGAGAGGTATATCTTTAGCCAGTAAATATATTTCCCATAGTACACATTGTGCCCTTTTGTCTCCCTGATACTGTGACCAACTATTGGTTGGGGTTTATCATCAGCCTTATAGCATATCATTGAGCCTTTCTTTTCTATACTGGGAATTATATACATATATTTTTCTGTTACATTTGTGTCACCTTCTTGGGAACTTACTAGGAATTTGAGTTTGTGACACCTGCTTGTTTGGCTCCCTATCACCACAGTCCATGATTAAACTACTCAGCCTGGTATACATTCCATGTTCTGTGATTGGGGCTCTGTCATTTATTCAGTGTGTGTGTATTGAATGCTTATCATAGTGTTACATACTGGAGCAGTGGTGGTGGCACTAGTGGAAGGGGCAAGAGGGTTAAAAAGGGACAGCCTCTGCTCTCAAGGATCCCTGAGTCTATGAGGACAGACAAATTTCATAGAATTTTAATTCAATGGGGTGGTGAGTACTGTAAATGGGTTCATTCATTAAATAATTTGTTACGGAAATACACAGGAGCCATCACAACTTTCACTAAGGCAAGGGATTTGGGAAGCTTTGACAGAGGAGATGACACCTGGACTATACTCTGAAGACTTTAGGAATTTAATGCTTACAAAAATAATAATAATACCCACAATTCTTAGTTACTCCCTTTTTTTTTTGAAACTACTCTTTCCCTTTGTTACAGAAGGAACCAGACACTCTGGGATCTCTCCCTTCTCCATCCTCTTCTTCAGGATGAAGCCTTCTTCAGGATAAAAATCTCTGGAATTTCAGCACTGCTTCCATCTTCCCTCTGCTCCCGAGAGCCTTCAGAGCTCAAACAGGCTCTATAGTACTCAACTAATTTTAGTTTATTGCATGGGTAAAATATTCCTGTGTTGCACGGTCTAATACAATTATAGTTTACATAAGTATATGTTTGCCGAGTTTTGAACAACTGTGTGTGTGTGTGTGTGTGTGTGTGTGTGTGTGTGTGTGTGTGTTTAGAGGGCACATAAATAGACAATGATGGATCATTTTCTGAACTCTTAGGGTAATTTAAGATTTAAAAACACAGACATCAACAAGTCATTTCTTAACACCTGAAGTTATCATTAATATCTCTTACAGCAGAATCACATAGTATGTGTTTTTGTATATTCTATTTTTCTTAGTTAATTAAAAATGAGTATTTATCTTTATTAATTTATAATGTACAAGACACAATTAATACATCTTCGTTTATTTTGGTTTAAAATTATCTATTTATAAATTCTGAAGAACTCATTTATAAACACAATTGAGAAAAAATGAATAGTCAATGTTAAAAACAATACTTTGGTGGCAGGTCTGACCAAAGTATTATGCATAGCCTGAAAAATAGATTTGTTCCTTTTTGATCTGAAAAAAAATTTTATTTGTTTGTCAAAGTGTAAACTTACTTATTATATTTGACCAAATACTGAATTATTCATAATTTGAAAACTATATTCTTAATATGTGTATCCCTAAATAACCAATATAAGTAAAATATACTTTTCCATATATAAGTGAAATTACATAATATTTGTCTTCTTCTCTGACTGATGTTTCATTTAACATAATAACCTGTAGGTCCACCCATGTTGTTGCAAATGGAAAATTGTTATTTTTATGACCAAGTAATATCCCAATGTATATATGCACCACAGCATTTTTATCCACTTGTATATCGATGGATATAAATAAATCAACAAGCAGCAGTGTTGGCAAGGATGTAGAGAAAAGGGAACCCTTACACACTGTTGGTAGGATTTGCAAATTGGTACAGCCACTATGAAAAATAGTATGCAAGGTCTTCAAAAACATTAAAAAATGAACTGCTTATGACTCAGCAATTCCGCTTCTGGGTATATATCTAAAGAAATCCAAAACATTAATTTGAAAGAATATATACACCCCTATGTTCATCATAGCATTATTTGCAATAGCCAAGATGGCAGCAACCCAGGTGCCCATCCATGATAAGTGGATAAAGAAGTGTTGGTACATATATACAATGGAGTATTACTTGGCCATAAAAAGCATAAAATTTTACCATTTGTGACAACATGGCCCAAAAGGGCATTATGCTAAGTGCAAGATGTCAGTCAGAAAAAGATGAATACCATATGATTTCACTTATATGTGAAATCTAAAGAACAAAATAAATATACAAAATTGAAACAGACTCATAGACACAGACAAAGACTGATGGTTGCCAGAGGGGAGTGAAGTTGGAGGATTGGATGAAAAAGTTGAAGGAATTAAGAAGTACAAATTGGTAATTACAAAATAGTCATAGGGACAGGAAGTACAGCATAGGGAACATAATTAATAGTACTGTAATAACTATGTACGGTGCCAGGAGAGTACTGGAAATATCTGGAGGAATACTGTGTAAAGTGAATGATTATCTAAGCACTATGTTGTACATCAAAAACGAATACAAAATAATATTATTAAATATAAACTAATTGAAAAATAAGATTAAAAATATATACATATTTAAGTCTTCAAAGACATATAAGAAGTAATATATGTATATATATATTATATTTATCATATATCTACAGCATATATATAACCTTGGCTTTTTATTTTTGTCTATTAAAAATAGTTCTCAAATAAACTGCAAAAATGTCCCCTTAAAAGCAAATTAAAAAGTAAATAATAGTTTTAAAAATATTATTAAATTTAAACATTTTAATGCTTTCTATTCTTCCTTTACTTATCAAAAAAGATATCAAGTTATACTTCAAATTCAAGAATTCTATGTACTTAACATCTAAAGAGTATTTATTTAAACATCGAGGCATTTTAAGTTTTACACTTGTGTTCCTTTTCCAATTTAACTTAACTCAATGCCCCTAATTAATGAAAATCAATATACTTTTTATAAGGCAAAGTACAGCTAATGTAGTACTTCATTAAAAAAGCCTTGGTTCTACCATTTTTGAGATGAGACCAAAACTTAATAGAGAAGGTTGGAGTGGAGAGTACTTCCCACTCAATTTTGGTCTGCTTCCTAAAATAAGTTTGGAGTTGGCACTAAAGATTTCAAATTCAGAGAAGAATAGGAAATTATATTATACTGTTGCTTCAATTGAATTTCTTTGTACTGTTTTGTACTGTTATCATGGCTACACTCTTGATCCCACTGCATGGCAGAAACGTCCATATTTCAAGTGCTTGTTGTTATAATTATGGAACAGCCTTGGCTGTGAGAGATTCCGGTTACTTCATTGAGCACAGAGTGATAACTGGGATTACAAGCATGAATCTATTCTACAAGACAGTTATGGGCTACAAGACAGTGATTTGGTTTAAGGGACCAATTTAGAAACCTTAAAAGGGTTTCCCTGAGCTAATAACATAGTGCCCAAGTGTAATACTAATACGATGCCAGGGTATCCACTTATATGGGCTGGATAATAAAGTGGAAAATTAATTTGAGGAATAATTATTATCTTGTTACCTGGCCATACAAAATCAAACTCCAGCCAGTGAACTTGGGAAAAACAAGAACTAGTTCCATGGAAGTAAATGGCAAAGCGTAAGTTTTGTACAAGGAACACAGGCAAAGAAACTGAATTTCAGGATAAGACTGCTTAAGAGCAGTTCACTCATTGGGCACATATTTATAGATAATTGCTAAGTGCTATGTACCTGCCAAGACATAGAAATGAAACGTAAGACAGAGCCCCTATTCTCAAGGATAACATAGTTTAGTGAATTATTTAGGCACTTGCACTGATTATTATATACAATGATGTAAATCACTGATGATTGATAAAGGTGCCAGAGATTATGTAAATTTAGATGGAGACACCTAATTCATCCTGAAATGTTATGGAGAATAGAAGTGAACAATATTCCAGATGAGGAAAAAGAATGAGCAAAAAGTCTAAATGGCATGTGTTAAGGACGCCAGAATTGTTTCAATCTTGGTTGAGCATAACGTGGAAATCAATGCATAGCCAGAGTTGAGGCTGGAGAAATTGGCAGATTTCGAGCCAGGAGGACCTTGTTTTTGCATTGTATGGTGTGTCTATCCTGTACACGACAGGAAGTCACTAAGGGATCTGTGCAGGGAAGTTTTGTAGGTAAAATGTTCATTTTACTTTGAATAATACTATAGCTGTGCAGAGGACACATCAGTGGAGTTAAACCAGATGGCAAAGGCTGCAGTCTAGAGGCTGCTGTGGAGTTCTTCTGAGAAATGCTGAGGTCTGGCCCATGAGAATGAGTTTCATTGGGTTGAAGATAGAGGTGGTAACAGATTTGAAAATTACTTAAGAAGTAAAGGAGGAAAAACAATTTGACATGCAGCAGCTACGGCAGAGATGATGCTGTGTGTTCCACATACCCCTTTACTTTTCCTCCCAGAC